CCCCCAAATATTGAAAGCATCTTTTTGCATATGGCATAACGTCATGACAACCTAAATGCGCCCCACAGAGAGTGGAGACGACGATGTGCGTTCTTGGTCAGAACAAAGTCCAAATGGGGACTCACGTTTATCTTGACCGCGGACTCTGTGGTCTGGTTTGCTTCTTCTTTCTTATCAAACATATATTGTCCTTATCTCTCCTCCTTTTTGTGTTTATTACTCACTCTCTTTGATACCTAATCTTCGGCACTAGTATGACCTTATTGAGTTGCAAGAGCCGTAAAAAGTATTCTAAAACAGAACAAATTAAACAAAAACAACAACAACAACAACAACAACAACAACAACAACAACAACAACAAAAACATGGTCTAGGCGAGGGGAAGATTATAATTAAGATCTATGATTCTAGATGTTCATTTCACAACGAAATCTTTCATTGGAGCACCAAGACGCTGGCCAAAACACAACAGCAGCAATAGCATCGACAGCAGCAGCAACAAAGACAGCAACAACAAAAACAAACAAAAAACAGCAACAACAATAACAACAAAACAAAACAACAACAGCAGCTGCACAAGAGTAAAACAACAACAACAACAACAACAACAGCAAAAACAGCAGCAGCAACAGCAGCAATACACAACAGCAGCCACCATTATCGTAGATGAAAGTGTATTCAAGAAGTAGAAGCTTGAATAGTGTTTCGACAATTGCTCGGTAGTTAAAATGAGATCCAACATTTCACCCAATAGGGATTTTTCGGCAACATAATATATTAAAAAACAAAAACAAAAACAAAACAAAACAACAACACAGTGACAACAAAAGCGTTCACCTATGACGCGAGTGTATTATTATTATGGTGGGATACGAGGAACAGCTTTTCAGTAAATAACCGAGATTCCTGGCATAGTTAATAATTATTCATAGCAAAATCTTATAACATTGCTTTTTTTCAAAGGGTGAGCTGCAAAACAGGGTAAGTCTAACTTTAGAATACAATTTAAAACCAAACCAAACCA